ATCTGATCTCATCAATGGACCAACTGTGTGTTTAAATGTAGGAAGGAGGTATGACTCCTGCAGTACAGTAGCTGTTGTGATAGGTTGAGTGGTTTACGTTGAATGGAGGTGGTGGTGGTGGGGGGTGTTCTGTTGGACTGTCAAATAATTTAATTTAGCTGGAATTAATTTTCAATGAAAAGACTTTTTTGGTGTTTTATATAGAATTTCGTTTCACTGACTGTTGAGTTGAATGTAAAATATAGGAAAAAAGGTATATTCGCTGGATTTTATTTTCACTGAATCATCCATTCAGCAAAAAAAGATAAAAAGTATTTTACAGTATAGCAAGCATTTATGTGCCACGGAATAAAGTCTTATTCTTCACCTTAGTCACAGATCTCAGATCTCATAGCCTTCACTAAAAATAAATCCAAAAAGCTATTTTTTTCTTTTCATATTTTTTTTGAACTCCCGAGTCAAATGCCTCAATGCATATTATGATGACCAGTATTTGAAACTTTCTGTTTGCATTTTAGAATATGTGGTAATATTTTCTGATCTGATGGAAATGTACAGGTATTCATGTCACCGACCTCATCCACCGACCTCATCCACCGTCCCTCAACAGGGATGGTGGGCCATCTTTGTAATTGTCATTTTCAAGGTTCCTATAACATAAATCACAGTACTTGAATGTAAGTGTCTCATTCCTGATTTCAATAGCTGCTACTTGTCATGTGAGGTACAAACTTGTGTACAAGATTAGGTTTAGGCATAAGGTGAGAGGCAGAATAGTGCATTCTGGGTAAAGGTAAATTACACATGTACAGGGTATTTTTGAAAGCTTTAGTTTCACTTGAAATTTTTTTTTTTTCTGTTTTAGCTGTAACTCAGTAAAAAATGAAATCATTTAAATATTTGTTTTCCATAGTTTGACTTAATTTATGACAATTTAGTGAAAATCAATAAAAATGTCAAATAAATTTACAGGAATTTTTCAAGGAAATGAAATAAATAATTCACGGTGTTCCAGTATACCATGTTTCAGCAAATCATTGTTTCTTCAATTGAGGAACATTGACATTGACATTTTTTTTTTTTATATTAACTTTTTTTTAAAAAAAAAAAGGAAAACACTTATGCGGGTTTGTAAAGCGATACAAATTGACTTTGGCTTCAAAGGGTTAACAGAATACACAGAACTGATTTCGTACCCCCAAAATATTGGTTATTATGTAAGTGTCACCACTAGATATCACCCTCAAATAATCCTGCATTTTTTGGTACATTCATATAATTTTTCTGAAAATATCAGAATTTGCACTCACTAACAGTGATACTGTATAACACTTTTCACATCTCTTCATGTGATCACAGATGACGTTTATATATGTGACAATTTTTCATAATTAAAACTTTCTTGCAAGCTTTATCACCAAAGCTATGTCAGCCTCTGCGGGGGGGGGGGGGGGGGTGCCTACAAAACACAGACTTTGTTGTAGGCATAGACATGCAGTTACAGTGAATGGCAGAGTGTGCAGATAACCACACAAAGGTCATTCATAGGGGTCACTAATATTGGTACAGCACCAGTCATCCATGTAATGACTTGCCTCATGTTTATCTATATACAGAAACGCACAAATCAAGCGACTGGAAAGTATACCGGTACATTACTTTTTTTTTGTAGGAATTTGTTTTTTAAGATGACAACAACAAATTTTGGTAATGTGTAAAACCAAAGTCATTTTTTTTCTAATGTCATTGGCTAAACATTCTTTGCTGTTATCTTTTGCGATGATCTGAAAAGTAATAAAAAATAAATTATTACATGATAGCCAGGAGGCACCCACTGTAGAGACATAAGTATCCCTGCAATTCAATCTTCTAGCAACTGATATGTTATGTTAATTTGACATTTTTCTGATATTTTATGACTATATATATAGGAGGCTGGAGTGGGTTTCTAAATAATGTTTTTTTTTTTATATTTTAAATTTTCACTGGAGAGACATTAATTTATACCAAAATTAATACAAAGAAACACATTTTAAATATTGCATACACCAGTTGGTATAAGTATAATTTGTATTAAAAAAAATTAAATAAAAAAACATGTCAAATAAAATGTCTCTAAGCCCAAACCAATTTTAAACAATAGTACTTGTCTTGACTGCATATAATAATAGCAAGATGGTCATTACTCAATTTTTTTTAAAAGCTTTACTGAGCAATTATAAATCATTGAAAAATGCCATTAAGTGGCATAATGGAAAGCAATTAATATCACAAATGACAAGGAGTAAGAATACATGAAAAAAAAAAAAAACTAATAATGTTAATAATGGAAGCTAAGTCTGTGAGTGGTTAACACATTTAACAGAAGGTTCCATTCATGCCTGGGTCAGGGAATGTTTGACTTGGGTTAATGAGAGGAGGGGGGACAGTGTAATATTGACTGTGTGTGTTTTGGGCTTTTAAGACAGGAACCAACATAAGGCCAGACTTTTTTTATTCCTTGTTTCTCGAGTTTTTATAAGGCAATTTTTTTGAGGAGGGCGAAAAAAAAAAAAATTAATCCTTTTTTTTTTCCATTAGATTTGTGTGATTCTCAAAGAATTGTAAGTGAGATCATTGATCGAAGAGAAGAAATGAAATACAATTTTATTCCATGTATAACCTTGTTTCTCATCTGCGCGGGACTTCGGTACTTTGATCATGATACTCCCACGAAAATGCAACTTGGGTTTGTTATGCGGCGAGCGAAAAAAAAAATGAAGATAAAAATAATTTTTTTTTAGCAATTTTTTGCACTTTTGCACAAGTCAGCAGGCGCGAGAAATTACGCTAAAATAAAATTTCATTTTTATTTTCATTCGGCGGGTTCGTGAAACAAATGATAATAAAAGTCTGGGCTAATAGATCTTACAATGTATTTATAGTACAGAGGTCTGAAATGTAAAATGAGGTTTCGAGTGAAGGAGAATATGAAGAATATGATATTTTCTTCCTTTAAATATTGTCTCTTTATTATATTCAGATTTGATGTGTCAGAATGATACCCTGGGTATAAATGGTAAATCCACAGCATGGAAGACCCAAAGAGTACATCACCTTGGGGCTGAATAAACTGAATTTTTCTGGTTTCATTTGTTTATCTCCCCCTCCCTTTGATTTAAATATTACCCATACAGGTGAACACACCAACATCACAGCTGCACAAAAACCTACATCCACTGATCTGTATCATGCTTTGTGCATACATAACTCACTTCTTGTATTTATTCCACTTTAGTTTTATATCCCCAAAACATAATATAGTTTTAGTGCTAATAAAAGACTTCTTAAATTCTAAACTATGTATATTTTATAGAATCCTTTACATGCTCTGTTAACTGTCAACAAAAGAAAATATCTTTCTACGCAAGAATGTTTTTTCCATGTGACATTCACGCTACAGACAACACAACTATTGTATGTGTTTTAAACCACATTATTATATATCTCGTATCACCTGGCCTTGTAACACTATGAGAAACCTGATGAGTGAACCATGCAATTTTCCATGTTATGCCTGGCGCTGTTTAACCATATTTCTTTTATAGATTAAGAGAGGTACACACACCTAACAGGTTTCAGTCACTTATTGATGCATAGCATTGCCAGGGATTACATTTGTAGCTCGTCTATATTGATTGCAGCACCCTGATACTCTTGCTGGCGCCCTCTTACCGAATTGTAGATTGAACTTTCAAGTAATAAATATATTTCTTGAGCCACGCACTTCCATGCTGACGTACAACATGAAATCTTCCTCAAATATATTTTTCACTGTGAAAACTTCCCAGCAACACCATCTGACAATGTTTCTGGACCCCAAATACACTAAAATTACTCCAAAAATATTTCAATGGCGATAGATACACGTTAAAACGGCGAAGAAACCTTCCGATATGGCGTTTCCAGTGCCTGCCTGTGTGTGCTCCCTCTTGTTAATTTTTTCTAGAAAAACCCTGGATTGTATTGAATTTTGCTGTTATGATGTGGGGCTTGCCTTTATAAAACATTGATTACATTAGCTACAACTTGCTGTCGAACACAAGAGCATATTTAGGACTGAAACACATTCAAGAGATTATGTCTTCTGGTCGGGGTTCTAGTTCGAATAAGTTGCCACCAAATGTTAAAATGCTAGAGAGTCTTGTTAATGTTCGGCACAGGAATATCCATATCCACTGAAAACATTTGGTAAAATTAAATGAGATTAATAACTGAGTGAAATGAAATACAAATAGCTTGAAACAATTATTTATTTTTATAACCCTCAGTCATACCCTAATGCACCCTTGCAAGCTTGGGCGTTTCCGCTGTACGACCTCAGGCTGCAAAAGCCGCATACAGTCTATAAAGATTGAGCTTTCAAATTTTAACAAAGTCATTTTGAAAACTCTGCCCCCCCCCCCTCCAATTTACAATGCCCTTCTTTTAGTTAGAAACTCATGATTATATTTATGTGACATGTGAGTGACTGATCAATATAACCTAATCATATTATAACTTTGACACAATTAAAATTGCTATTGCTACAGAGTAACATATTCCAGGTTGTATCAATACCTCAATAACATGTGTCTAATGTAAGATGCAGGGTGGTCAACTGATATACTGAATGTATAGTCATACTTCTCTTTCAAATTAATCTCGTCATAGCATACTGCCAAATAAATAATCAAAACTGGGAAATCACAGCTGTGTGTGGAGTTCAATGGTGAAAGATTGTTTTCTTATGGTCCACTTACCAGACTTTATCAACGTCTCCTTTGCCATTCTTCAATCCTAACACCACAATTTTTTTCAGTGAAATTGTTGATACAACATTTTGCACATTTTTCTATAATTTTTCAGTTGACTTTGAACTAAATGGACATAATCTTGTGAATTTAGCGAAAAATATTATTTCATAAAGTTGTATCGTCAACTTGAAATGAACAAAACTGATTTATGCTTATCTATTTCAGTGCGAGTGAAAGCAACATTGAAGAAACTGATACAGGGTGCAAAGAAAATGATGATAATGTCAGTGACCAATCAGAACGCATCTCTCCAGCAGGTGACTCAGACACTTCAGGCGGTGACAACCAATCAGAAAGCAGCATTAGCAGTAAGTCATTTTTCGTTACTATATTATTTTTCCCTGGCTAACAATTTCTACTCAATTTTTTTAGCTCCGCTGTTGACTTTGTCGAGCGGAGCTTATCATATGAGTGATTGCCCTCCGTCGTCCTGCGTCCGTCGTCTGTGTCAATGTTTTACTTATTCGACTTGTTCTTGAAAACTACAAGCCTGAATGCTTTGATACTTGGTGTACTTATATGTA